TGGAAGCAATCCCCTCAACACCAGTTGTTTTCCTGTTGTTTTCCCGTTGGGGTGGTTTTCTTGTTGGGGGTTTTCCTGTTGTTTTCCCCTCAACACCAGCTTTCACTGTTTGGGGCTATGAGGATGCTAGACTCTCAAATGGACCCAGCCAAAAAAAAAGGTAACAACAACTACTCCCCCCACAAATGGTATTGGGCATGCCAAAATATGTTCCTCCAATCTTTGCTCGTTTGATTGCTGTTTTTGGTTGGTTTTCCTCGGGGTTGTTTGGTTTCTCAGGTATGTTTTTGAACAGGTGCTTCCAACACCACTGCTTAAAGCTCAATCTAGTCAATCACTACCGAGCTGGCTGGAAAAGCACAAGCATGCAATGCAGGAGCACAAGGACAAGCATTGGGTATTTTAAAAAAATATATGCCACAGCATGTTCCTGCAGATGTTTGGCTGCTTGCCGCTGATTGAAGCCTCAGCTCTCTTCATGTTTGGTAAGTCCGGAGCCTGCGACAGACTATGTCAGTTGCATCACAAAACAACAACTCACAGTATTGGCTTCAAGGTTCTTTGGGCTGAACTACAGGGCAACCAATTGCAACATGATGCTTCTTCTCTCTGTCCCTCATGCAAAATCGCAAAACCCTTGCGGCCCAGTGCCAGGATCGACTACGTGTGAGCACAAGGTGTGGAAAAGCAAGTCACACAATTCGAGCTACAGCTCCTTCCAGCATCTCTGGCCAGAAGGAATCGGTGCACCTCCGAGTCGAGCTCGTGCCAGGAACGTGAGCCATCAACAGCCTGACAATCTAAAGGACAAGTGGCCCAAAAGCGCGTTTGCGCGCATAGAATCGCCTCAAAGGAAACAGAAAGAAGGTGGCCCGCTTTCTGCGCAAGCTCTCCGTGCCATAATGACTCTCTGCACAACCTTCCTGCTGACATCTCCCTGTGCACTCTCCCACTGGATCTCTTGGTGATATCTCCCTGTGCAATCTCTCATCTGATTTTACCGGAAGGACCCTTCGCTGTCAAATCAAACCGTCCGAACTCATGTTTGTTTGCCCTTCAAAGGCTGGCGAAAGGCGAAAGGCCCCAAAATGGCGCAAGCTCACCCAAGGAGCACCGAAACTAGTTCGCCTTGGGCGAAAAATCCCGAGCCCTGCAGTCGGAGGGGTCCCATGGAGCCTCTAGGGGGACTTTCCCTCCAAACACAACTCCAAGTTGGTACTCCATCCCTCTGCCAAATTCGTGTGGAGTGTTGTTTTGAGGGTAGATGTTTTGGGATGGTTTTAAAAGGACCAAAGGGAACAACACCATTTTGGGGGATCCATATCCATATTTTGACACACACGAAATTGCCATCGCCTTTCGTTGCTTCTGGATCCCTTTGCGTGGGCGTTTCATGGCCCCCGACCTCATTTGCCACTAGGTGCTTCGAGCCGGGTTTCCCACCGGCGACACATTGCACCCGGTTTCACTTTCAAAGCTGGCAACATCCCCACCCGCTGTTTTAGGACACCAACATAAGCCACCCGCTGATGGCGTAGATGCCTTGCGTTTTGACTCAGCCATCCAACAAACCTAGTCTGCAGTACGAGTAGTAGATTTCAACCATGTTGGCAACGGGTCTTGGTCGGAATTCTTGAAGCAATGCCCCGTGATCAACGCGATACACATTTATATGTATATATATATATATATTAATATACATGTATATGCATGTTTTGCTCGCTGCGTTTCAAGTCACCAGTGAAACAAAGCATGCATCCAAACTCTACCCAGACTTCATCCTTTCTGCAATGCACTGTCACTGTGGTTGAATCCATCGTGTTGGAATCAATCAAGCTGTTACAATGTGATATGCCCTAACACGGAACACTGTCCAATTCGAATCCTAAAAGCATTCAAACCCGTTATTTGTTTGATGCAAAACATATATAGGGGCAACACCCAGGCACAAAAAAGGGTCAACCGTTGGTAGGATGAGATGTACATGCTAGATACCTGAGCTGGGCACTTTACGAAATAAGAGGGAGGCAAAATCATCTCTCAACATACACCCGCGTCTTTACCCCGTGACCACGAGCATTTCCTAAATACAGGGACCGCGTTTCCTTTTGGCGTCCCTCAAAAAGCCATCCAAAAGGTGGCCCCAAGTTAATACCCCTCCCTCCGCATCACTTCGCCGTGTCTGAACACGGAGGCAAGCTCAAAGCGCATATTGTGAGCCATTGTAAGGGGACAGCATGCAAGTCCTCGAAAGAAAAACAAGACCTTCAATGCAATTCCAGCGTCCCCACCCTCCCCCCCTACTCCCCTCCACCTCCCCCCTCCCCCCCCCCCCCCCCTCCCCCCCTGTACTCCCTTCCCCCACCCCCACCCCTCCCATTCATTTTACCCTGCGTTGGTAGTTTCATTTGTTGGACCTTAAGTGCCTTCCCAAGGGAACCACCTACGCGGCGCGAGCTGATCATTCAGGCACCAGTACATATGGAACAACCAAAAAGCGACCAATCTTCGAGCCAAAGCCTCCGACTTCCGGCTCGGGCTAGTGGGCGAGTGCCCGGTCGGCCCATGGACTGCCCGCCGAGCTCCGGGACTCCCTTGGGGTTCTCTCCCGCCGCCGGCTGGCTGCTTTTGATCCTTGAGGCAAAGCAACTTTCCCCCCGGTAAATTCCCCCCAACCACCGGGAGCTTCAAACTGCAAAACCAGCAGGGGACGAAGTTAAGACTGATACCTCCAGTCACTTCGCGAGGGGACTGGCGAAGAGATGTTTAAGTCCAAGCTTCTTGTCTGCACCTCGTGTTCCCAACAGTATAAAGTCCATCCTGTCCATTGCTCGTTAAATCTGGCGGAGGTTCCATGGGCCAGGCGCCTTAGGCGCCGGGCAGGGAAAATAGACGCGTTCTGTGCAGAAGCGGGCGGGCAAAGCAAGCCTCTGCGCGTCGAGGTTCGGAGGACGCCGCAATCCGTTGGGGCCCAAGCACAATCCACAGTCCACTCCATCCTTGTTCTGGTTGGTAGCTTAGCTTTGGGGATTGGACTTTGAACAAGCTAGATGTTCAACAGCTCGCCCAAGGATGGCTCCGATTCGGGTTGCGCAGCATCGCGCCAGGCGAAGCAGGAGGCGCAGCGCGAAGTTCGCAGCTGGAAAAACTTCACTCGGGAGCAAGCGAGAGGCACTGGAGCGAAGTTCGTGGACGACTTTGACCTAAATGCCCCAAAAGCGCGTTTTGTTCTGTGGAGGCGGGTGTCACTTTCGAAGAGGTCCAAAGCAACAAAACAAGGGGAACCGTGTTGAACCACGCTCCAGCGATAGAGTGGCATCCAAAGGAATCCACTTTGCTGGGCGGAACCCTGGCCAAATCTTTACGGAACCCAGCCCTTGGTTTTCGGGTGAATCCAACCAACACCTGAAAACACAGCCGCTGGGGGATGAGACTTTAGAGCAGCGTCGGTACGCCCGAAATGAGAAGCATGGTTTGACCAGGCCCTTGAGCCTTCCTCGTGGGTGCTCTGGCCACAAGACCTACATAACCGATGCTGCTGCCATGCCAAGTTTGCTTTTGTTGGACACCATGGAGCACCATGCGGGAACAGCCGAAGACCACCAAGCCTTGCCCACAGAATATCCAAGAAACCACAACAACAACAACAACAACAACAACAACAACAACAACAACAACAACAACAACAACAACAACAACAACAACAACAACAACAACAACAACAACAACAACAACAACAACAACAACAACAACAACAACAACAACAACAACAACAACAACAACAACAACAACAACAACAACAACAACAACAACAACAACAACAACAACAACAACAACAACAACAACAACAACAACAACAAGAACAAAGCAGCAGCAGCAGCAGCAGCAGCAGCAGCAGCAGCAGCAGCACCAACAACAACAACAGCAACAACGGCCACAACAGCAACAACAGAACAACAGCAACAACATCAACAACAGCAACGACAGCAACAACAGCAACAGCAGCAAAAACTGCAACAACAGCAACAGACAGAGCAGCAGCAACAGCAACAACAGCAACAACACCAACAATAACGACAACAACCGACAACAACCGACAACAACCGACAACAACCGACAACAACCGACAACAACCGACAACAGCCGAAACAACCGAAAAAAAAAACAAAAAAACAAAAAACACCTACAACAACCAGCAACAACCAACAACAACACACAACAACACACAACAACCAACAACAACCAACAACCAAGAACAACCAACAACAACAAGAACAACAACAACAACAACAACAACAACAACAACAACAACAACAACAACAACAACAACAACAACAACAACAACAACAACAACAACAACAACAACAACAACATCAACAACATCAACAACATCAACAACAACAACAACAACAACAACAACAACAACAACAACAACAACAACAACAACAACAACAACAACAACAACAACAACAACAACAACAACAACAACAACAACAACAACAACAACAACAACAACAACAACAACAA